GTGTAGTTCAGTACAACCTGTATTAGCATTAGCCAAGTAAAACCTTTCTGCCGTATGCTAACAGCTAATTGCTTAAAGTTTACATTAAATCGCCCACAACTGGACCATTTCAACAGAGATGTGTTTTTCACAATGGAAAATAAACTCAATGGTTAAACTGGACAAATGTACCAGGAAAGTTCAGACCTAAGATGGTTCTTCCTGGGTCTTATTCCCATAAGAAATTGCTCATAGGTCATGTGTTCACGCTCTATTGATAACAAACTTTACAAATAATACCAAAGACCTTTGCAGGTGCTCCCTTGGGTCTTGGGTTGGAGTCATCTTTGATCCCTCTGCAAACATGTGCCATTATCATAGCCTCTACTCTATTTAAATTTGACTCCAGTACTTTGCACACTTACGAACAAATTCCCAAACTTCATTGCATCAAAACAAAAGGTGTTGATCCGTGCAACTTTATCTAAGCTAAAACTATTATTTAGAAACCAAATCCTGAATGGTTCTGAGCAGGACCTGTGAACTCATGCTTGTTATTTCTTGTCAAAAGTTATTTATTTTTGGTTGTTTTGTACAAAGAAATGTATTTGTTTAAAACAATGAATCCAATATCACAGATGCTGATGACGATGACCTAATGTTTTATTTTCAAGATAAATGTACGCTTGAGGGGGACCAGAAACGTTTATAAGCTTCTTCTTGCCCCCGTTGAACATGACGGAGACTATTTGATCATTTCTATTTAATTTCTTTTTTTTGGGTGCTTTTCTTTGTTGTAATTATTATTATAATTATTATTGTTGTTTCTTTTTTTTTCTGACATGTTCAATAAATTGACTAATACAAAAAAAACGTCATACACATTATATAAGTTGAGCTGCAGCTTATGGAAATGTGCCACTGTTATAAACCAGCAGGAAGACCCTATCAGTCTGAACAGCCCTGCCAGATGCCAGACATCTGCTTCTGTATACCTTCAACCTTCATCCTCCCTTCCTCTCCCCTCCTGTGCCACTCATCGCCAGTCGGGAGGATTACGAAGAGTTCACAGACGGCTCATCCCTTCAGCCTTTATCGCCGACGCAGGACTGCTATCACCGGCTGAGCAGCGCGTCCTGCTGTAAACACGAACACACACTTCCCAAATGCCACGGCACAGAGCCCATAATCCTCGCTGAATCAGACCGGGGCCAGAAATTCTGCATTGTGTGTTTTTTCCCTGCAGACAGGATTGGATTTGGGAAGGACAAGGGGGCGCAAGGGGTCGTGTCAATTACATCCTCAGTGAGCGCAGTGGCCCTGTTCAGCATGTTGCACGGTGACAATAAACAATCAAAAGGCTTGGCAGGGTTACGTGGTTTATTTGTAGTAACTGGGACAGGGTTTGTGTTATTAAAGCACCAATTTCAATCCCTCTGAACTACTATGGAAGCCTGTTAGCGCCACAGGAAAAGAAAAAAAAATCCTATCTCAATATATTGACTTACTATCTCAATATATTGAGTTATATATATTTTTTTTTATTGAAACAATTATGTCAATTACAGAATAAGGCACATACACATAAATGTTCATCATATAAGCGATACAACTTCATATTAAGGTACANAACTGGGACAGGGTTTGTGTTATTAAAGCACCAATTTCAATCCCTCTGAACTACTATGGAAGCCTGTTTGCGCCACCGGAAAAGAAAAAAAAATCCTGTAAGTCAATATATTGACTTACCATCTCAATATATTGACTTAGCTATCTCAATATATTGACTTCCTATCTCAATATATTGACTTCCTATCTCAATATATTGACTTAGCTATCTCAATATATTGACTTCCTATCTCAATATATTGACTTCCTATCTCAATATATTGACTTAGCTATCTCAATATATTGAGTTATATATATTTTTTTTTATTGAAACAATTATGTCAATTACAGAATAAGGCACATACACATAAATGTTCATCATATAAGCGATACAACTTCATATTAAGGTACACACATTCACCATCAACTAGTTGTTAATTAACATGCATATAGTAGAATAAGGCATTAATAAGTGTTTTATAATGACTAATAAAGAACCAATATACTGCTAATATGCATGTTGATTAACAACTGGTTGATGGTTAATTTGTGTACCTTAATATGAAGTTGTACCGCTTATATGATGAACATTGATGAGTATGTGCCTTATTCTGTATTTGACATAATGACATAATAAAACAAAATATATATAAGTCAATATATTGAGATAGCTAAGTCAATATATTGAGATAGTAAGTCAATATATTGACTTACAGGATTTTTCTTTTCCTGTGGTGCAAACAGGCTTCCATAGTTATTGTACGCCATTGTTCTGTTATTCCATTATTTGCTCTTACAACCCAACCATTTGTATCCGTCAATCACAGTCTGAAAGTCCAGTTCCTTAATTAAGTATTTTTTCTTTCCTTTGTGGTGACTGTACAGACTGTCAGCCAACACTCAAGCCATTTCCGTTTGATCAATTTGTCTTTCCATCCTTTCTCCTATTCAGAAATGCATGCGGTTCAACCCGGATGCGACCGTTTGGGTTGCAAAGCAGCGGATCCTGTGCACGCTGAATCAGAGCCTCAAAGACGTGCTCAACTATGGGCTTTTCCAGCCGGCCAGCAATGGGAGGGACGGGAAGTTCCTGGAAGAAGAGCGCGTTTTCAGAGAGTACCCTCAGCCAATCACCAAGGGGGTCTCATCCCTGGAGGTAAACTATTGACCAGTTGGATTATTCCTCAAGTTAGTAGTGAAAGAATCAAATATACTCAAAAATGCAAAGTGACTTGTTGCATAAACTACTTTACATACATTAGTACATATGTCCAAACTCATGTCAATATTATTTGATTGTACACCAGGATTTTTTCCATTTCTCAAAATAATGATCAGTCTATCACTTAATAATCTGATATGAATTAAGTCAATATATCAGTTGAGTGTAAATATAGCTTGTATTAGAGGTAGATATATCTTGTAACCTAAAGCGTTTTAAAATGATCTAAACCTATGTTGGATCTGGTACTTCATTTCCAAAGGGGACCTTTTTGCGGTTTCCCCTCTCCTGTAGTGTGCCATATAGCTTTTGTTCATGTCAATGGTCTGCAAAAATCCCAAAGTTCCCTCTAAGCAAAATGTAGCTCTTTATCCTGTGTCCACTTGGCAAACACTGTTTTGTTTTATTTATCTAAAATTGATTTGTATTTTTCATCGGTTAATATCATAGGCGGAGTTTGACATTTGCGCTTGGGGGGGCAAACTTTTTTACTGGCGGCAGTACACAGTCCCAACTATTGCGTGGGGTGCTACGGATACAGTAGCAATAAAGCCAGCGTTCACCGCACTGAGTATGACTTTTTCCACATCCGAACACAACTCGTCCCGTCATGCACGCCTCATGCCCGCCGTACACACACACTCATATGGAAGAGGCGGTCTCTCCCCCCAACAACAGNATACCTTTTCACATATCTCCATTCTGTCATATGACTGGAATTGTATGGGAGCCGTGTGGCACAGTGGATTGTGCGTTGGTGTTCGGATAAGGGGAGCACAGGTTCAAACCCCACTGCAGTCAGCATGTCGTTGTGTCCCTGAGACACTTCACCCCAAATTGCTCCTGTGGGGATTGCCCACAGTATTGAGTATGCTTTGGATAAAAGCGTCTAACAAGTAACATGTAATGTAATTGAATTGAAAAATGTCTCCGTAAATTAAAGGCTTTGACACTTCCCCTTGATGGTTTTTGCAGTACCAGTGATTGACCACTAGATGTCAGTGTGCTGCAGAGAGCTTTGTTACCCTCAGTTTGAACCCTGAAGATGTAAGGAAGACGAGTGTGTGCAGAGCTTTAAGAAATACACAATTGAATTAATCAGAGTTTAAAGGCTGTCTTTTATGAACCCATTTCCCTCCCTGAATGGCATTAACGTTTGAGGTTATGGTGACAGGTGCAATTTAGGGGTTTATCGTGAGGGGAGGGATTAAAGTGAAATGGCCAATTTACACTGAGGCTTACTTCAGAGAGGTTTGTGAGGAAAACCCAAATGGCTGCTTATCAGCAAAAGCAGGTTACAGTAAAGCATTCTCTCAGAGTAATGGCGTTTTGTGACATAATTAAGCTTGTGCTCAGTCAGGCAGAACATTAGGGGGAATGTTTGTTGAAGGACCATCGAGGTCTGATTCATTCAGCTGTGTCAACACAATGCAAATATGTGTGGAGATTTCTGTAACTTTCTTTCAAAATGTGGACATATCTCCAAATCTGTATCTGGATTTTTAAATGTGAAAGTAAATGGGAATGAGAAGACACATCTGTTAAAGGGAAGATACATGTGGAATATACAAACACACGTGTAAATAAAAAGACACATGTATTATTGTGAAATCAAATGTGTATATGTGAAGGCAAATTTGTATATTTGAAGATATATATTTCAACTTAGAGACAAATGTGAATGAAAATGTTTTAAAATGTAGATATTGGCGTACATGTGAAGTCAAATGTGAAATATACAGACACGTGTACATAAACAGTCCTACATGTGTTTCAAGGTGATCGCAGGTTTTACTTCTTTGTTAAAAGATGAGAATAAAAAGTGATTTTCTTTCCCTCTGAACAAACTGAGCTGCCTGACAGATGATTGCTATCACGTCTGAAATGGGACACACCGAGGGAGACAGGGAGAGAGATGTGTGATAAAACGGATCAGCCTGAACACACACACACACACACACACACACACACACACACACACTCATGACAGAGTGTGTGGACACTAATGTGTGACTGCTGGAGGGTGGCTTTTCCTTAAATGGCTTAATACACTTTAACGGTAACAGCTGCCAAGACAGACGGCCACGGAGTGTGTCAGTGTGTGTGTGTGTGTGTGTGTGTGTGTGTGTGTGTGTGTGTGTGTGTGTGTGTGTGTGTGTGTGTGTGCGTGTGTGTGTTTGTGGTGGTGTCTTTACTTGTGCTTTGGTAATATGTACCAGCTGTTCCAAATAAAAAAAGAGCAAAAAAACCTTCTGTGCTCCTCTGTTTGCACTTGCTGAACTGGAGGTGTGTGTGTGTGTGTGTGTGTGTGTGTGTGTGTGTGTGTGTGTGTGTGTGTGTGTGTGTGTGTGTGTGTGTGTGTGTGTACCTGGTGAACCTCGTGCCAGCCGTTCTCGTCCTGGCAGCAGACGGAGGCGTGGTGGTTGAGCAGCAGCTCGCAGCAGCCGGGGTCCCCCCCCCCACCACACTGTGGTACAGAGGGGTCAGACCACGACTGTCCTTGTAGTCCGGAGAAGCCCCCAACTCCAGCAGCGTCTGAGAGTGTGTGTGTGTGTGTGTGTGTGTGTGTGTGTGTGTGTGTGTGTGTGTGTGTGTGTGTGTGTGTGTGTGTGTGTGTGTGTGAGAGGGGATGGAAAGGCACAGAAAGAGGAAATATGAATTATTTAGCAAGAAGAGAATTGAGTCATCTGGTCTCCAAAGTGGAGGTTTTAAAGTAACTAAGAAATACTGTCCTAAATGGAATATGTTGGTGATGCCTACAGTACGTCTATAGCGCATAATAAACATACTTATAATGCATTTTAATCAGCTTATAGCAATGGTATAAGCACTGAATTATATTCTTAATGCTATAAAAAAGCATCATAATAAGTGTCATTGTACTTGTATTTCACTGACTTTAGAATAATGACATTTCTTTTAATTTACTTATAACAATGACCAAGTAAAATAACCTATAAGATTATTATTTATTTATTTACATTAAATGATATTACAACTATAGTAACTATACACTTAGATCCTTGCAAAAAAAACAACAACCTTGTACGTGATCTATCATTCCTAAAAATAATTTATATTGTGGGATGATTATTAACATAGATTATTTATAATATGTACAAGTGCTTATAACTTTAATTACACAGTGCTATACATATTTTAATGCATTTTGATACATTATTTTAGATGTAAGGGTCATAAAAAGTGTTTTTAATGAGATTTTTCATCATAATTAATTTTCATTCTGTCACGAAGTACTTTAATCTGACAAAGTCCAACTCATTAAAATAACAAAGCTCACAAAACTTAAGAAAAATAATTGACGATGAAACAAAAAATAAAAGGTAATTATTAACTTGTTCTTTCACAGAGAGCGCTGTGGGAAAGATTTAAAAGATAAAAGTGATTTTCTTTCTTCTTCTTATGTACTGACAGCTTGTTAACTTCACATCTCGCCCTGTTGTTAGCTGACAGTTTGAACGCATCAAAATGCTGCTCATTTTGCAGAAAGATACTACAAAGCATGATGATGGAAACTGTCTTGCTTTGCAGAAGTTCCTGCACATGTGAGCAGGTGTAAGAAGTTTAAAACTGAGGATGAAAGACATTGTATTTTATTTTCACCGTGAGTGTGACGTGGTTCTTGGAGCGAGCGGCTTTGTGCAGAGACGTCATGCCGTCTTTAGCTCTGAAGTCCAGGTGAGAGCCTCCATTCTTCAAAACCTTGATCATCTCCACCATGTTGTCCAGATGAGCGGCGAATGTCAGCGGACTCTCTAGAAAAATAAATCAAAGACAGAACATTTTTAATGATTTCATCGGTAGAAAAACAAGTCCATATGTGTTAATGTTTTATATCAAGCTGTTTTAAAAGGCTTATTTTGTGAGTCCTGAAATCCAGAAATGAGTCACAATTTCACAACTAGAAATGGATACAGCATCATCAACAACCCCCATAACCACTGAAATATCTTCCAATTCGGCAACTTGTGCTAAATATTCAAATTGCAAGTTAGCATCCGCCAGATTCTGATTGTTAGGGACCCCTACATTATATTTCTAACATAAAACTTTGGGGTACTCAACATTTCCAGGTTCACATTGCTTGCAAATTGCTAACTATCTAAATTAGACGACTAAACATCATCATGCTCAATATTAGCCACCTTTAGCTTAGCAGTGGTGTACGTGAAGTCATGTGACCGTGCTGTAGTTCCTTTATAGCCCAACATTAGCCACCTTTAGCTTAGCCGTGGTGACATGAAGTCATGTGACCGTGCTGTAGTTCCTTTATAGCCCAACATTAGCCTCCTTTAGCTTAGCGGTGGTGACGTGAAGTCATGTGACCGTGCTGTAGTTCCTTTATAGCCCAACATTAGCCACCTTTAGCTTAGCAGTGGTGACGTGAAGTCATGTGACCGTGCTGTAGTTCCTTTATAGCCCAACATTAGCCACCTTTAGCTTAGTGGTGGTGACGTGAAGTCATGTGACCGTGCTGTAGTTCCTATAAAGTCCAACATTAGCTTTTTTCTTCAGAAATCATAAAGTGGTGTTAATATGTAGAGATTATCCTGCTGAACAAAATGTGTCCAATGAAATCTAATCCAATTGAAAAATCCCATTGAACCAGGGAGATGCTGCCTTCAGGGTCGGCTTATAGAAATACGTCATCACTGCACCAGGAGCCAAACAAATATTTGTGTTGCTAAGTGGGAGTCACAAGCTTACACATAAGCTGCACCTTAAACAGTGATCTGAATTTCCATAAGTAACACATCAGTATTCACACGACTGCACACGACTCCAGGGACTGACACCGAGGATGTGATGACACAGTTTGTTTTCTTCGGTACAAACCACCTGGGAAATGTTTGCTTTCATTTTCTATTTGCCTTGTTGAAGATCACACTGAATCATTTACAGGTGACATGTGAAGCACAGTGTGAGTAACATGATGCAGACAAGTAAAAAGCACACCTGTGTTTTATTTACTTAAGCAATTACACAAGGTGAGCCATGAGTTTTAATCCCAATGTACTGTAAAGGGCTTCTCGTTAGGGTAATCCAAATGCTCCAAATCCAAATAGCTGGTTGTGATTTCAGGCTATGAAAAAAATTGTTTTGGTCCCCTATTGTCTTTCTAGCACCTGGCTAACATTAGACTCCCATTTCTGAAACACATCCCAATTACTTTATATTGGAGTGGGGCAGAGACTCATTTTCAGTCTCTTCACGGCAGATATATAGTCGCCAATCAAGGTTAATTGAAGATATACAAGTCTGCCAAAATGAGCTCATATAAAAAGCTCCAAATAAAGTGAATGAGTTTAGCCTTGAGAAGAAGCTCTAGCCTGCCCTTCATGAATGAATCTGATTAGGAGCAAGTAAGTGACAGAAAAAGGGAACTTAACTATAGGTTTTTGGGAGGAATTCACAGGTTTCCCTTTCAGTACATGTCCATATTCATGTTTATATAGTTTATTGTTTTGCAGATGATACACAGCACAGAATGAGGCTGACTTGTTTGAAGCCTGCACCTAAATATGTTTTAAATTCACAGCTTTATAGAAAAAAACTAGCTCACAATGAAAATGAATTCAATATTGATGTCAATTTATTCCGACATGTAAAATGAAAAGGATCTCGTCATCTTGCCCTGATGTAAACCGTCTGATTAAAGAAGGTCAAGTGTTTGACACAACTAATTAGAGTAATACAAACTTCACTGTAATTAAGACAGATGTCAATCTTAATGAGATCTTCCACTCAGAGATAATTAATGTGTCCTAATTTTCCGTAGAAATAAACAGATTTTATTTTCAGTTTGCTGTTGTTATACAATAAATCAACCCAGATCAGTTTAGTATTCACATGTTGTACGAGAAGATGTCAGATAGAGCTTCAACAGGAGAACACAGACATGAAGTAAACACTAAAGGGAAAAACAGAAGAAGAAGAAGAAGAAGAAGAAGAAGTAAAAACTAAAGGGAACAACAGAAGAAGACAAACAGGAAGTAAACACTAAAGGGAACAGCAGAAGAAGAAGAAGAAGAGGAAGTAAACACTAAAGGGAACAACAGAAGAAGAAGAAGAAGAAGAAGAAGAAGAAGAAGAAGAAGAAGAAGAAGAAGTAAGAACACTAAAGGGAACAACAGAAGAAGACAGACAGGAAGTAAGCACTAAAGGGAACAACAGAAGAAGACAGACATGAAGTAAGCACTAAAGGGAACAACAGAAGAAGACAGACAGGAAGTAAGCACTAAAGGGAACAACAGAAGAAGACAGACAGGAAGTAAGCACTAAAGGGAACAACAGAAGAAGACAGACAGGAAGTAAGCACTAAAGGGAACAGCAGAAGAAGACAGACAGGAAGTAAGCACTAAAGGGAACAACAGAAGAAGACAGACAGGAAGTAAGCACTAAAGGGAACAACAGAAGAAAACAGACATGAAGTAAACACTAAAGGGAACAGCAGAAGAAGACAGACAGGAAGTAAACACTAAAGGGAACAGCAGGAGAAGACAGACAGGAAGTAAACACGAACAGGAATACGGAATTGGCTCTGTCAGTGTTTAAAGACTGGTTAATGGAGCATAAACCATGAACAGACTTGGACAGTTACAGAAAACCCTGATCAGTGCTGCCATTCATCTTAAGTTGCGTTGCTGTCGCCTCACTTGGTATTGAATATTTTCTTCTTAACCGAAGCTAAACAATAATTTTGAACTCATTGAAATCATTCTCAATAAATAGCGAGTCAAGTAGTTGGTTTATTCAGTCGCCCCGTTGCACCTTTTCTTTTACAGAATAGCTGTTTAACAAGAGTGCTAATTTCCCCTTCAGCAATAAGACGTTTATTTAACAAAAGCTCTCGAAGCCCATTAAGATAACTCCGACTCCCTGCTTAATAATGCTTTCTCCTCTCTGCTTCACCTTCATCTCCCCTCAACAGACATTTGTATTCTGGGCAAACTCTGTCCACTCAATACTGGCTGAGTTAAGAGCAGCCGCACCGCAGAGATACCCTTGACATATTCATTATCATGAATAAACATAATTGTCCACCTCAGGTACAACAGTGCTGGTAAACAATGATTATATTATTATTATTATAATTATAATGTGCTTTTAAATACATGCCGATAGAGATAAGTGGTAAAATAAAGTGGTAAAGTGTTTTTAAATCAAGGAAAGGTCTTCCCTTCTACCGGCACAGGAAGGATTCTCGTACTAAAAAATACTTTTCACAGAAAGGATGATTTAATGAAACACCAGGCAGATCACTTTTCTGTCTCCAGTCCTCTGGTTGATTAGTTTCCTATTAGTGGACGAGGACTTCAGCAGGCATTGCTATAACAAGGATTTATTTTCAATCCGACTGTAATGGATCTCTGATCACATTGAACATGGTAATCATCCAAAACTCAGTGGAGTGGTGAAGTGATGAAGTATTACTGTAGTACAACCTGGAAGTTAGCATCGCAAAGGCTCCCTCCACAATATGCCAAATGGGATTTTTACATTGCGGATTATTGCAGAAAATAATCTCTGTGTAAAACAAGCTTTTATTATACTCCACCTTATGATTTTTGTATTAATCAGCTAAATTGCACAGTTAAAAAGGGTTTGGCTGCTGATGGTGATCTAAGTCCTAATTGGAAAAATATATATTGAAGGAAAATTAGCTGATGTGCTAAAATTATAGCATTTCCCATTGCATTTAAAATATGAAACAAAAAACATATCAAGATAACAAGCAGTAAAACGATAAGAGATTATAACTCAAACTGCCTGATCAAAGCTCATCGATAACTCAGATAAATTCACTGACCTCCCTACTTAAAACAAGCTTTTACGATACTCCACATATTAATACCACTTTATGATTTTTGAAGTAACAAGCTAACGTGAGGTTATAAAGGAACTACAGCACGGTCACATGACTTCACGTCACCACCGCTAAGCTAAAGGCAACGTGATTAAGTGTTATTTCGACACTCGTTAGCAATCGCCGTTTTGAAATTCACCAGTGGGGTATTTCGTGGAATAAAAATCTCTTCATCTTGTGTTAACCACATACCTTATTTCAGTCTAAAAACCACAATCACATTGAAAAACACATTGACTTCCAGACCAGATACAGGAAGTGGTGACTAATGCTGACTCATTTCTGGGTTTAAGGACTTATTGCTGCTCCACTCAACAACATGGCTGTTTTCCCAGCCACAGATGTGCAGGATATCAAACAGGTGCAAACATCCAGCTGCTTCCACACAGAGTGTTTCACCCTCTGGGCCACCGTGAAGGCTTGTGTTTGTGCCGAGTATCTTCCAAGAGTCAACATGTGAGTCGTGTACCAGGTACTCCTGAGAGTGTGTGTTCAGTCAGAGTAAACAGAGTAGCTGTAGACCTGGCTCCATGTTTTTACACACAAACACACCGGGGGGCAGTCAGTGCCCGGAGTAATGAGCTGCATCCTAACGTCAATGTGTTCTCAACACAACTCTATTGCTCCATAAACACAAAGCGAGCAGCTGCTCAGTGCTATGCATAATAGTTATAAGTCCTCCTCGGCACACTCGTAGAATAAGAGTCCTGCGCCTGGGGAGAATGCAACCAGGCAAGAAGAATCACTTATTACCTCCAAACATGCACATCCACTCACTTGTAATCTTGATTTAATTTGCTGTGGAGCTTGGTGTGAACATCAGATTTCATTGCTAGCTGCTTAACAGGAGCCTAATAAAAGAGAGAGCTTTTGCACGTTTGGTTATTAAAAATCATTCTGGATAAAGATTGGACAAGTGTTATTGGATAAGAATCCTAATACTCTATTTATCCTGGAGGTAATTAGTATGGAAGAGGATTAGGGCCACACAAAAAGACATCTTTGGGGATGTGAAATGTGCACATTATACTAAAATATATAACAGGTTTATTCGTTGTATACAGTTGTGTATTAGTATTAATCAGTTTTGATGCTAAATTGCACAGTTAAAATGGGTTTGGCTGCTGATAGATCTAAGTCCTAATTGGAGAAAATACATATTGAAGGAAAATTAGCTGATCAGCTAAAATCATAGCTTTTCCATTGCATTTAAAATATAAAAATAAAAAACATATCAAGATAAACAAGCAGTAAAACGATAAGAAACATGAAACTGGTTAAATTATAACTGAAACTGCCGGACCAAAGCTGATCGATAGCTCAGATGAATCCACTGACCTCACAGTCAATTTCACAGAGACTATTGCTTCAGGAAAAAACTGTTGTTAGCGGTTTACAAAAGTTTGAGTACCAACATTTTCAATTTAGCTGGATTGTATCTGTAAATAAGAATTAATTTCAAGTGCAGATTTCTGAAAACCACGACCTAAAACCAAACCATACTCCCAATAAAAGGGAAAAGTGACACATTTTTGGTGATTTTGGAGGAACTGACTGGAAACTTTGCAGGTTCATTCTGTTCCTTTTAACAGAAAGCTTCTCCAGGACGTATATTATATACTGTCCAGTCAGGTCTCAATATATCTAACACCCCAAAGAAAAGAGCTCACACTCTCCATTATCTGAGCAGGAAATCATGGCAGGAGACGGGTGTTGTGTTGCAGGCAGAGAGTGTGAACAGTAAATTGCAAGAACAAAATAATATGTATTGCAGCTCTTTTCATAGGTGGGTGTTTTTTGTTGTTGCTGTGTGTTAGGCTCGAGCCCAAGTTCTAAAAGGTCTCATTGAACTAGGTTATTTTCGGAAACAACAACTGTATTTGTGCGTGTGACTCGGTGGGTTTCCTGTTTAATTTCAGGTTCAAAATGTACCTATGACGGCCTCTAAAAGACAATCAATTGCTGCCTCTGCTCTGGAAATGAAAACCATCTGTCTCTTATTCCCTGTTTACCCACACACATTACAAGTAATTCTACGTTGATCCAAACCAACCAGTGGCCACAATGTGAGAAGACCAACCTCAGAATCAAGGAGGACATTTGCAAGGAGTGTGAATGGAAAAACTGTTTGAGATCAATTGGGTTTATTGATGGTCTTACTGGGAAATATCTTAGAAACTGATAAAAAGCTGATGTGTGGTTCAGGCTGCACAATAATTGTGTCTGTTACTATGGTTACTGTGTCAAATTACGCCATCAAAGCCATCAAGAGTGAAAAGCTACGTCTTATTAAGGCTTGTCGTACGATAATTGCAATTTCATAGGAAATCCCGATTTCCAGGAACAACAAGGTTCACAAACTCTCGTATGATATTGGGTGATGCTGTTGGAAAATCATGAAAAAAGGAAAAACTAAAATCATTGTGTCATCATCATGGAAAACAAGAATGTAATTGGACCAAATATTTGGCAGAAATTGGGATTATTTATGGTAGCAGCTGATTATGAATGCAGATGGTGTATGATAGGGGTATTCAACAAAAATTGAACGAGGTCCAGTTAGAGAAAATCTCCCCATGTAAAGGTCCGGAACATCAAAATGTCTAACTTGCTTTATGAATTAGTGTGAGATGTATTGAAGTAGCCTGTAGCTTTATCAACAACCGACTGCCAATCAAATAAAGAAAGTACAATTAAAAAACAACAATATTTATTGTCAATTAACATTGAACTATACAGATATACAATAAATACTGTCGATATGTGTAATGTTCCTCTCGGGCTGCATTTAAAAATAAAATAGAGAAAATAAATAAAATAGCTTTTGAAAATATGTGCATCATAAAAGTGCTTCATTTTAGATACATGAAATAAAGTGTAGCAGCAGCTTGAGTTTCTCTTTTTCTTTGTTAACCGTTTCACATCATGATTTAACTGTTTCAGCCGATTATAGAACAACATCAGTCTTTCTTTACACATCATAACGATTGAACAGTTTTAAAGTTTCTCTTTCTTTCCCTCTTATATTCCAGACCGTGGTCCTCCTGTTAGTGAACTATGGTGTAGGACATCTGCAGATATCCACCAAATCCAAACTCACAGCTAAATAACACCCTCTACTTTTTAGAAGTAAAATGTACCATTGGTATTCAGCTTTAGGTCTTGGTGTGTTTGGTGTTTGTGCTTGAGTGCTGCCTTACCACCAGTCTCACTGTCATGGTAGTTTGGATCGAAGCCTCTCTCCAGCAGCTTCAACACTTTGTCCACCTGATTATGTTGGATGAGGTCCATGAACTTCCTCAGATTGGCCTGTGCAACCAGAGAAAAGAAAGAGCTATTACACTGAGAAGAAGGAACAAATGGTGGTGGGAGTGAGAGATGAAAAAAGGCAGGAAAACGAGAATAGAAGTTGCCAAATAAGAAAGGGTAGAGGGTCAAATATAAGTGAGACTGAAAAGTGTACATGTAACGGAATACATTGAGAAACTGAGGGAGACTTATGGGTGAAGATAGAGGAATAAAAGGCGAGTGAGAGCATGAAGCAGAGGAGGGCAAGGTGACAGGATTCAGAGCTGAGTTCGATGGCTGCTCCTTTCTGTTCCCGTCTACTTTCTTTCCAGGCCACATGATAAAAATAGATAACAGAGCAGCTCCCCGAAGGAGAGCAGAAAATGAGGAATAAAGAGTGAGATAGCAGGAGAGAAAAGAATGGGAAGCAGAAATAAAAGAATAGACTGAGAAGAGAGGCACGTAATAAATGAGTAAAAAGGCAAGGACACGGGGTGGGAGTAGAATAACATACGAAGGGATGTCCTCTTCCCACCGTCCCATTGTGGTGCCCCAGATCCACGTGAATCAGCACAGGAGAAGATATTCATTTCTTATTATCATTTTAGTTTCTAGCCTTGTACAGCTGTGTTGCACCCGTTCAGGGCCATTTTTGGGAGTATTTTAAAAGTGTTTGAATATGCAAGAACTGAAGAAAGTATTCCCAGTAGAACCTCAAAACAGGAAAGTAAAATAAAAATGCTCAAAACATCATTTTTGTCAGTGAGATACCTTATCATTGTACCTGGGTTTCAATAAAAGGCTACCCTTAATGATATCCTTTCTAAGTAACAGTGGTGAATTCTGATATGCTTTTTAATATAGAAAAGGGGTTCTGAGAGATTGCACAACACTTTATGCAAACAGCAAACAATAAGTCAATGTATTTTCTGGAACTCTGACTTGGTTTCCAGTTTGTAATTCTGGGCATTGTTTAAAGCTAACATTGTCTTAGAAACTTAAAATTATCGGAAAATAGGTCAGGATTTATTTAACCAATAATATATGCCGAACCTGGGTTTGTTTATATCCTATCACTTCAAAGACATCCATGCTTAGAGGATCTTCATTGCTTTCTAGAGTTTCATATCATTGATATCAAGACAGCAGTAAGTCGAAACATCATTTGTCACAGACTGAAAACCCACTTCAATGCCCCTTGGCCAATACAACAAACCCCCAAACTCTCTAAGAAATGTAGCACTTAAACAAATTGGATTTATAGCGAAAGTACCAGCAGGATTCTTGCTTTTGAGTTTGTTTCTGGATGGTTGATCGCACGTATTGTAAATAGGTTTGGTTAAAAGGGTCAGCTAAATGGAATAAATGTAAGTATGTCAATAGCCTGGTCCCAGACTTCTTAATATCGCTGATCATGACAAAATACCAGCCCCCAAACTGATAACGGCTAACATATCATCAGCAGATTAAATGACCGTTATCTGTTCTTAACAGAAGTATAGATCTTATAGTTGTCAGAGTAGACCGTTATCATCTATAGGTAAGCTGTATCAACGCAGGAAGGATAAAAAGTATTATGCGATGACCTCTAGTGGCCGTTATTAAGTATGACAGGAGCAAAGGAGAAATTAAGATAAACTTTCAGATTTTAACCAAAACAAGGATGTTATTCTGAACTAACCCAAGTAGTTTAGTGGCCTCAACCTTAACACATTGTTTTGTTTCAATGCACAGTTTTAATCACAAACATTTCACTTTCACAACATGAAGGTATTCAAACATCTGAAGCATTTTGTTGGTAGAAATAACAACCTTGTTTAATTGAACTTAATAAGCTGATCAATTCTGAAATTGTTGTTGAAATACAGATGCAAAAACAAACTAAAGCTTGACTACTGATCCTTTGTATAGCCAATAGCAATCCACCAACTATTATAAGGTATTACAAGCTTAACATTTATTGTTTTTATTGGTTTAACACTTGTGGTTTTATACCTGAATTTCTTTTTATACCTGATGATCATTGTGTAATAGTTTAATGAAATCAGTTTCTGTTTAGATAACAGCCAAGATGAGTCACTGCCGGTTCAATATCTGGAAATGTCAGGGGTTCACGTACATGGCCCTGCGTTTCAAAGCAATGTTTTATTTAATCTAGTTGATATGTCCTCTGTGTGTGTGTGTGTGTGTGTGTGTGTGTGTGTGTGTGTGTGTGTGTGTGTGTGTGTGTGTGTGTGTGTGTGTGTGTGTGTGTGTGTGTGTGTGTGTCTGCAGGCCAAGTGAATAAGAGTCTGTAGGACGAAGCTTCCTCTCTCTCTCCTCTTCTCTCCCTCTACCTCTCTCTTTCTGCTGAAACAGGTTGAGAGGATGGCGGTTGATTGGCAGTCTCAGCGTGAGTTTGAGCCAACCACTGAGCTCCAGACTGCAAAGCACAGACATTTAGCTCAAAAAAGCTGGGTCAGGCCAAAACAAATAAGAAAGAAAGGACTCAGCGTCAGAAGTTGGACTTTTGGCTTCTGCTCATGTTCGCCATCTCACCGCTCCACATTCATAACAACTTATTTGCCCTTTTCATTTTTCGTTTTGCAGTCCTCTCTGTAGATTTAGAGCAGCTGTCAGACAGTTTCCCAGTGAGCCGCTGACAGAGAGCTGCCAGAGTCACTTATGCTTTGGCTGCAGGATTACAGCAGCCATGGGACAGGAGCCCAGAACTAGCCTTACACAACGAAGAGGAGGCTAATAATCTTCTGTTCACTGTAGAGATGTACTTCATGTGGGAGAAACAGAGCAAAGGGAGGAGCCTTCTGTCGGGGCTGGCAGGAAAAAGAGACACTTCTTCTGAGCAGCCTTACATATATCATCAAAGAGGAACGGAAAACTGAAAATAAGCCCAATTTGGCAGGTAAGCTACACTGAGCTTGCAGTGTTTTCCCACCCATCACACACTTCAAGCTGCCAAGAATGAAGGCAAACAGACACAAACTGCCTCTTTTCCCCAATCATCCAAAGAAGCTGCTTAATATTTAAAGGTGACCTATCATGCAGAATGCACTTTTGTACGTCTTTTCTACATGAATATGTGTCCCCGGTGTTCCAGGGAACTCATCAAGTGTCAGAAAACACAACCCTCTCTATTTCCCTCCATACCCAAATCTCTTAAAAAGGGGCTGCAAGGGATCTGATACAGACTGATCCAGATTTGAACACTTCTATGACGTCACAGAAGTGGCGCTACAGCTATTGGGCCAACTCCACCAATCAGGAGGAGACAGCCACGGACAATGCCGTTGGAAAGCGCTGGAGACGCTGTAGTACATATGCCAGGCCTGTAGTTGGTGCTGTTCTCACAGAATCAGCCCATGCAAAGACAGTGTTCAATTGAGCGAAATGAGAAATGACTAAAATGCATGATCTGTTTGGTATTTTGAAAAATAAAAAGTATAAATATGCCTTATATAGGTATGGTCCTACACTATATTATTCAAATATAGCATGATAGATCTGCAATCTGTGCGTTTTATTACATTTTTGCACCTCCAGTGTGAAAAGTTATTACTGTGGAGGTTTAACAATGCAATTCCCAGTCAGGCAGATGTGGGTGGCACTGTGACATCCTTTTCTTTCATTTCAATGTCTCCGCTGCTCATGCTCTCTCGACTGTTTCCCTTAACAGTGTGGAGAGAGGCAGAGTCTATAGCTTAGATAAGAAAAGATAGAATAAGATAAGACAGGATAAGAAAAGATAAACCTTTATTAATCCCCATTGGGAAATTCAGAGCCTCCGCACAACCTCTGGAAGCGATATTCAGTTTTTATGCTCCGTAGTATAAACGTAAATGAAATCCCTGAAAAGTGGCTTGAATTGAATCAAATCTTCTTCTAATTTGTTTTAAATTCAGGATTGCATTGCTTCTTGTCGCAGATGATGTGGTTCTGTTGGATTCAGTACTCGTTGGGTCGGTTCGAGGATCAGCACTAAATCTAAATCCGAGGACATGGTTGTTAAGATCTCTGTTAAGAATCGGAGAAAAGGTAGGACTCGAACGCAGACTACAAAAAAGGTAAAGGTCTATAAACAAAAGCGAGCTTTATTTCAAAAGCCGATGACAATAAAACATGACATGAAACACATAAGTAGCACACGGTAGAAACAACACCAAAACTGACCGTGACTGACAGGGAGACAGGAACAACAAACAATGAACTGACAGGGGAACACAGGGAAAGACTAAATACAGAGAGGGGTAATAACGGGACGAGAAACAGCTGGGTAAGGGAGGCAGAAACACAAGGGCAACAGGTGAACACAATGAGACAATCAGACACAGGAGGAAAACAAGAGACAGGGAGAACAGAACAGCAAAACAAAACCCATTACCAGACAGACCACACTACAACCGTGACATAACACCAAGATCGTGACAATGGTTCCCAGCAGGAAAGAGATGGACTGTCCTCTCCGAGTTGGGAATGAGTTCTAACCCCATGAAGGAGTTCAAGTCTGGTATTTGAGTGAGTGGAGCGTGAGATGGGCCGGAGAAAGCTGAGCCAGAAGTTAAAGCTCTCAATCTAGCGGTCCGTCTTCATCCCTACTCTCACTTATGTTCATGAAGTTTGGGTCATGACCGAAAGAACAAGAAGAAGTTCAGTCATCCGGGAAGTCTCTACTACGACTCCGGATAAGCGGTTGACGACGGATTTAAACGCCCTTTTATTTTTCATTTATTTTGCACCTTATCTCAATGCTTTTTATGTTTTGTGCTGAGCGCTCTGAACTGCCTTGTTGATGAAGTGTCCAGTAAACAGTGTCATAGATTACTTGTAATACCTTTGGCATTTTTCTTTTCTTTTAAATGTTACTGTCTAAGATCTCAAACATTGTCTGTATACAGAGTTGATATTGTATAATACAAGCTTTTTGTTTGAGATGGAAAAAACATGTCTAGGTAAAGTGGTGTCTTTGCAAAAGCTGGCACTCATTGTGTGATGAATCATTTGTCAATAGTCTCTGAGAACTTGCTTTTAAAGGAACTACACACACTGGCCACAAACAAGATTAAAGGTTCATTACTTGGTGAGTTTTCTTGACTAAAGGATCAAACTCTTACCTTTGTGTGAAGTTTGGCAATCTGTTTCTCGTCCACATCGGGTTGCTTGTAGACTCTGCTCTTGTAGCGGAACTGTTGAGCAAACAGCAACTTATTAATAAAAGAAATATGGGTCCAACAGAGATTACAATAAGGCTGATTATTTTGACTCCTCTTTGTGCGTGTTGAAAGATATTTTCCATACATATTGAGGATTGCTAGGGGATCAAGATGTGTCCTCTTCATGGCCGGTCATTTATTTTACTACGCTCACTGACTTTCAATCTTTGAGGGTGTTTGAGGGAATGTATAATGAAAAGATATTTCGTTTGTCAATATTTGATGGATCATTTCACTTATTTTATATTTCAACATGACTTTAACGGCTTTCCCGCAGGTAGGGATCCAGAATTGTTCGTCCTTCAGAAAGCTTTCACTTTTTAAAACCAACAGACCTGAATATTAACCGATGAAAAACACAAATCAATTTTAGATAAATAAAACAAAACAGTGTTTGCCAAGTGGACACAGGATAAAGAGCNCAGACACACACACACACACACACACACACACACACACACACACACACACAGTGCCCTATACAACCAGGTGAGCAGGTGTGTGTGTGTGTGTGTGTGTGTGTGTGTGTGTGTGTGTGTGTGTGTGTGTGTGTGTGTGTGTGTGTGTGTCTGTGCACGTGCGTGGATTGCCCTGGTACTATTTTGATGTGAAAGCAGGAGAAATGTGGAGCAAAAATAAAACATGCACATTATGAACTCACTGTAAATAAACCACGCACTTATAAAAGTGGAAAACTTTCATTAAGGGAAATACCCTGGCGTGGGTGAAATGGAAATACCTTGTACTTGTTTATGTGCTAGCTAATATTCACATTTACCTTTTTCCAAATGTGATGATTTAGGACAGACAGGGATGTAAAAGCCATCCTGACTGTCGCTCTTGTTTTGATGCATGTTCAGACCCTGGTGCTTCTTACGCTATTTTTTTAACTAGATAAAGGATTTGAGTTCCTACACATCTGGATCTTCAGCTATCAGAGGATCAAGCTGAGCAAACATAAGCTGCTGCGAAAAGAGCCTAAAATAAACTGAACCCTAAAGGGAAACCTCTGAATTTAGCTTTTTTACTGCTTTTAAATCACCAGCTTTGGAGAGAATGAGACCTCTGTCGATAATTCTGCTGTCAATGAAAACGTCGTAATCATCTGGATTGTATCTCAATAAAGAAACAACTCTATTCCCTCTAGGACATCCATTTTCAGCCATGCTTCTTCTGAGAAACACTTATTTAGAACGTGCACACTTCATTATTTGGTACTTTTACTGGTGTTATTAACAGGTGGTCCATTTGTTTTTTATGGATGAAACCCTCTGACAATAATTCTGCTCTTGTTAAAAACCTCCTGAACATCTGGATCTTAAACTATCAGAGAAATAAGATGAGCAAACATTAGCAGCAGTTCTTCTCACAGCTGGCAGTAAAGCTTTGTCTTTGTCGAAACAAACCGTCAACATTAAACTGATTTATTCAGTTTTTCACTCGTTTAATCACAGGGCATTTAGAGGAGAGTACCCGTCGATAATTGGCTCACAATTGAAACCTCCTCAACACCTGGATTGTAAGTTATCCAATAACAATCGGACACACGTTTCCTTTCTTTTGTTTGTTGATGGCTCTCAGTAAAAATATCCTAACCACCTGGATCTTAAATGATCAGATAAACAAGACGAGCAAACATTAGAGGCTTTTTTTCTGTCAAACATCGTGGCTGAAACACAGATTTTAATCAGTGTTTTTTAACTATGCTACCTAATAAAGGTAAAAAACAGGATCTTCTGAACAATGAATACTGAAAGATTTCTAATCAGGGGAAGGAGAAGAAGTAGAGCTGAAATGACGAAAGTTGGGGTGAAGACAACATTTCCCATGATCCCTCGCTACTTGTCAACGTCACCAAACTCAATATCTTGTAATCATTTTTTAAAGGCGATTAAAGGTTATACCTAAATGCCCGCTCTCTGCATGCTGATATATCTGCTGTGTTTCTGCTGCTGTTTGCAGAGCACACAGCCTGCAGGCTCTTTGTTCCTCTTTCTCAGGGGACGAATCATTCGCAGCTCTTCCTTCATGTTATTTATTAAACTCATGTGTTTGATGCTCTGATGCTGAGCTAGGAGAATCCCCACGATACAACCGAGTCACTGTCTACCTCTTATCACAGTAAATACTTTAACATGTGACTTTCCCCTCATAGAGCGTTGGGTAAGAGCATTTCAAATATGGTTCAAATTGTTCTGTGTTATGCAATTATTTTGTTGGCATTCAAGCAATATTCGCTAACACCATTTAGCTGCATTCTGGTCCAACGTGACTTTCTTCTTTTTTTATACAATATGTAATTTTCTGCCAAAGAACAATAACAAAATTAAGAGTTTGTTGTCATTAGATAGCATGGGATCAGGAGAGGTCGTATTCACCATTATTGCCATCATTGCAGTCAGCTTCTTCCGATTAGAAATCCTTCAGTATTCATTATTTGGAGCGTTTTACTGGAAGCAGAACTAGCCAAAAGACCAGCGGGTTTAAAACCTGTTAAACCACTAACTAGAGACTAGAGACTGAGTATTATCGTCCTCGTGTGGCTCCAGTTAGGGTTAACCCATACACACGAGGACGATAAGGCAAACGGACAGAAATCGATATCAAAAAAGTCTTCCGTCCACACGCAACAGGCACCAGAGACGTATCCGTTCACAGGAGACCGCTCGAAAGCGCTGGAGACGCTGTAGTACATATGCCAGGCCTGTAAGTGGCGCTGTTCTTCTGCCACAAAAGCAGCGAAGAAGACTTCCCGCGCATGGTTGCCATGGTTTTCATGGTTGCCCTTCTGTTTATTCTCCGCTGTGGACGCTCTGGCTCTTTTTCTCCCTCCCGGAGGCAAGCGTGTGCTCCTGCTGTAAATCTCCCCGTTAGTCCACCAGCAGATGACAAACACCTCTCCGCCTCTTCCAAGGGACGAGGGGACCGTGCGGCAGAGTTTCAGTTAGATTTGTTTTTTGCCAGTCAACATGTCCGTTAAAGTTTAAATATTCCGGACAAAATTAGAAAAGTGCCGGTCAGAGGTCTTCTTTGTTATTTATTGAGCTTTAAAACAAATTGATAANCGAGGCAAGCACTGTAATTCTCTCCGGTTATTCCACCAGCAGATGACAAACACCCACCTCTCCGCCTCTTCCAAGGGACGAGGGGACCGTGCGGCAGAGTTTCAGTTAGATTTGTTTTTTGCCAGTCAACATGTCCGTTAAAGTTTAAATATTCCGGACAAAATTAGAAAAGTGCCGGTCAGAGGTCTTCTTTGTTATCTATTGAGCTTTAAAACAAATTGATAACGACTATATATAATCATCTAAGAATAATAAACGGAGCCTCTCTTTTCCTCCCCTCTTCTGAGAGCCCAGCAGCTGATTTCTGAGCAGGAGAGGTGGGGAGAGGCGGGGCTATTGCTTCAACGTTATCAGGAAATGATCGTATAGGGCGTAAACCGTAAACACGGAGCCGTTTGCCCCCCAGAGCGTTTCGTCCTCAGATCTACCCACCTAGGGACCCGTTATCGTTATCGTTTTCTGCGTTTCCATGTCGGCCTCGTGTGGCCGAACCGTCTATCTGATAGTGAACTGTAGCTGTAGATACGACCGTTATCGTCCTCATGTGGCCGGGGCCTGAAAAACCTCAAATCTTTGTTGAAATTGGCCAAAGGAGAGCTAGTTTATGCTAGCTGTTAGCATCCAGTGGAAGCAGTTCGGTTGCGTTCAGGCTCTATTCAGTAAAATTGTATATTTGGAGAAGGGAAATGATAATCTTATCATGATGTGGTCAATGGATACATGTCAAAAAGGAAGTTAAAGTGCATGGGATCAATAGTTTTTTTTGTCACACTTGCCACAGGTAAGCCTCTTTATTTTATACCACAGGTGAGCCTTATATATTTGGCACAGGTGAGCATTTATATTATTGCCACAGGTAAGTATTTATATATTTGGCACAGGTGAGCCTTTATAGATTTTTCCACTAGCAGCCTTCACAGATTGGCCACAGGTGAATTAGCTGCCTCTACTAAGCTCCGCCCCTTCAATATGGCAAGAGGACGGAGCAGATGGAGGAGGGTTATAGTGGGAGGAAGAGGTTTTCCATAACTTCCAATATGCTCACTAGAGCGCCAAACAAGAAATAAAATCTCTAAATGACCAGCGTTTTTTTAAAATAAATCTCTGAGATCCAGTTGAACTATCTCAAAGAGCATTTGACTTTAAACCTGTGAGTGCATCTGAAGATCAGCAGCCTCTAAACTCTGTGTTTTACAGAAAGCATTTAACACATAGCCTTTGCAGCGTGTCCAGTTATGCAGAAAATCACAGCTCAGAAACAGCCCACAGCTGCATTGACTGTGCGGCTCGTTCCACTTAACAACGATAATTCTCTCTGTGAAGCTAAAGATCCACGAGCCTCTGACCTCGGAAACGGCCTTCACACCGGCGTCTGTTTGTGTTGTGATGCTGGGATAAAGGAGATGTTTGTGTGTCCATGCATGGAGATGGGAAAGGTCCATTGTTTTCTTCAAGGTTGTATCTTCCTGGTCGAATGTACTTATTGTAAATCGCTTTGGATAAAAGCGGCAGCTAAATGTAATGTAATGTAATATAGTCATTTATTCTTAAACGATATGTGAGGCTGCTGACACGTCTTTAATAGCAGCTCATACATATATATTTATTCTAACAATTGAGCTCAACAGCAAAGAGAAAGAATATATAAATGAGGCTTTAATAAAAACACAATAGTTATTAAAAGATATGTTCATTTTTAGTTGTGGTGTTTTCCTTTTATTATTATTTCAGTTTTAAAAATAATATGGTAACAAAAATAAAATAAATAAATAAAATAGATAAATGAATAAAATAAATATAAATAAAAATAAATACATGCATTTAATAATAGTTATTATAATAATCATCCTAATAATAACCCAATTAAGTTATGGTCTTTTCATGGGATTTGTACATTTAAAAAATATAGCCTATAGCACTTCCTCAGTCTTACAATATTAAATCAAAAGATCAATAATAATAATAATATTTTGGGGTATTTTTATGGGATTAGTTCATTATTAAAAAGCCAACACTGTAATTCTCAGAAAAATAGTTAACGTTTTGGTCTTTCCTCAATACTTATTAATGATGATAAACCGTCTGAAATATCCTCTGTGTTGCCGTGACGCTCTGAGAGCTGCAGCTGAAGAGTGTGTGATGATGATGATGATGATGAAGATGATGATGATGATGAATCAGAGGGGGTTGATGTAACTGGATTATTCTGTTATTAGGCCGGCATACTGTACATCATAAATATTCATGTTTTCTCCCTCCTCACAGAACCCTGAGGAGATTCCAGCGCTGTTACAAAAACATAAACTAAAAAAAACTTCTGAATAGAAATATGTGAGAATCCTTCTTCCTCTGTCATCTCCTGCATCAGTGATCTACAGTCACTAAAACCACATGAAACACACAAAACAAATCTATTCAAAGTGGAGATGTCCATAGACATTAAATCCCTCTGTCTCTACAGTCTTTACATTTCCTCCCTAATGTCTCCTAAAAGCTCAAATACCTCATGTATAAGTCTGACACGCTTCCATTTGCGAGCGTCATTGTAAATGTATGGACAACAAATAACTTCATGTTTTAAAAATAAGATTTAAAGGGGACCTATCATGCAAAATGCACTTTTTGATGTCTTTAATACATAAACATGTGTCCCCGGTGTGTCGGGGAACTCACGCAGCGTCAGAAAATAAAACCCTCTCTCTTTTCCTCCGTACCCAGATCTTTTAAAAACGGGGGTACAACGAGCGGATACAGATTTGCTGCCGATATGACGTGAAGTCGGATGGTGG